GTTTATGTTTACCAGCCCCAAATGTGCGGGTTTAGGGGGGAGAAGAGTCATCATTATGACTTCTAATAGGAACCTATGATTAAAAAGTGCAGCTTCATAATTTACTTTAATTACAACTATTAACTGTGATACTGAGCTTAAGAAATATATGTGTATATATCTGTACCCTTATCATATAATATGGTTAGCCTTAGACTTTAACAACAGGAACTTCATGTGCTAACTTAGGAACTTAAGCAAGTTCATAAAACTTGGTTGAGCTCATCCTCACAACCCATTCCAAGGTCAACTACCTTGGATGAGGTAAACACTCTCGGATGAACTCAACTACTTGAGCTCATCCTCATGACAACCCATTCCAAGGTGAACTACCTTGGATGAGGTAAACCTCGGATGAACTCAACTCCTTGAGCTGATCTTCATGATAGCCTTTTCCGAGGTCAACTACCTCATGTTGAGCTCATCCTCATGATAGCCCTTTCTGAGGTCAATTACCTTGGATGAGGTAAACCTCGGATGAACTCAACTACTTGAGCTAGTCCTCATGCTAGCCCATCCTGAGGTGAACTACCCCGGATGAGGTAAACAACCTCAAATGAACTCAGCCTATGCTTGAGCTCATCCTCGTGACAGCCTAGTCCGAGGTGAACTACCCCGAATGAGGCAAATGATCCTAGATGAGGCAAACGAGCTCGGATTAACTCGGACTACCCCCTACCCACATAACCTCCACATCATTCACAAGTTAATGACTCCCAGAGGGGGAATAGTGTGATGGTAGTCTGATGTGAACTACCTTGGATAAGGTAAACCTCGGATGAACTCAACTGCTTGAGCTCATCCTCATGACAATCCATTTCGAGGTGAACTCCCTTGGATGATGTAACTCCCTTGGACGGTGTAAGCAACCTCGGATGAACTCAACTGCTTGAGCTTATCCTCATGCTAGCCCGTCCGAGGCAAACTACCTTGGATAAAGTAAACAACTTTAGATGAACTCCACTACTTGAGCTCATCCTTATGATAGTTGAGCTCAGGTCTAGCTTGCAACCAGCTTGCCATTTCACCAGTTATCTTGTGTTCCACCTCTCATGGGCCATTCATCAATAAGATATGCTAAGCCCCTATTTATTAAATATATTGAATATAATATATTCTTCATGTTTCAACTAAAAGTGAGTGACTTAAATGACATTTATTTATATTAATACATTTGTAGAGCCTCATGCAAATAATGGAATAATCCACAAGCTAATGGTATCCACGAGCTGGTGGTCTTTATTATTGGTTCTAACTTAAAGAGATAAATCTCTCTTTGAGAGGGGGAGTAGGAATACATAAGCAACAAAAATAAACTTACATAAGCAACAAAAATAAACTTTCATATTTTACTTGGCATGTGCTTAATTTGCTGCTTGAATATATTTTGAAACTCATATTTTAGCATTGTTTATTTTGATGACTCATGTCACAAACATTTATATTTAATTCTAAATTATTGTGCCACTTTAATGTTGATGTATCTCATGTATTATTGACTATTGATAAACTAATGGCATTTGTGAAGTTCTATGTTTAGAATGAATGTTTACAGGTCTCAAGAGTTTGTTAACTCCTTGGCTTGGAAGACTCGAAAATATGTTATCAGCTTCTAAACTTATCAGTTCATCAGAAAATACTATTGGCCTTTGAGCCCATTAGCTATTGGCTTTTTTAGCCCATTCAATCTACAAGAGTTTGTGTCCATCAACTATCAGCTTCTCAGCTCATTTGTTCTATGAAAGTTCAGTTCAATCTTAACTCTGCAAAGCACAACCTTCAAAGGGGTTTGATTTTATGCTATGACTCGAGAGACCAAGATTTTCTTATGGGCATCTCAAGGTGGGATTCTATGGTAGGCATCTCCAGCAACCAAAATTGGCATTCGATCAACTCTACAAAAACTGGTTCTGGTCCTAGCTCTATAGAGCATGATTGTCAGAAGTCTGACTTCCAATATTATGGCTCATGAGGTTGCAAATCGTCACTTTCGAGTCATCATTTTCAGGTCATCATTCTTAGCTACAACCATAACACATGACTATGGATGATGCATCTTTACTTCTGCTACGGCCATAGTGACCATGAGTCACCAGTTCTAATTTGGCTCCGGCCATAGTGACCACGTGTCACCAGTTTTACTTCGGCTACGGCCATAGTGACCACGAGTCACCAGTTCTAATTTGGCTACGGCCATAGTGACCACGAGTCACCAGTTCTACTTCGGCTACGGC